GGGGGGGGGGGGGAGAGAGAGATATGTTTTTAATAGACATCGAAACGTTAAAGTTCATTCAATTGTGAATTTTTCAATTATTTCACTTATATTTCCGCATTAGCTAGTCACCACTCTTACTCACTACATGTTTCGCCCGTATACGGGCATCGTCACGTCTTCTATCTTGCTAAAATTTCGTGATGCGTGTGAAAGCGATACTTCCTGATTAAAATAAAGTGGCCTTAATTAAAACTAATTAAAATTAACATCCCGGCGTTTTCCTTATGGTCGTCGCCAATTTGTTGAAAAGAGAATTGCCTGAGTGTCTCTTGTTTTGGATTTGCGCAGCATTCCCTTTGCCTTTTCAATGACCACTGAAGGCAGTGAAACGAAAGGAACGGCAAACTGTCCCCAGGGACAGGGAGCCCAGCTACATGAGGCAAAACCAGCCGAAGTTTTTGTGACTGACTCCCCCACACCCCCCTATATCGTCCTCTCCAGGAACGCGCCGGGACACAACCAGGAGTCTGCGCATCATGTCTTTGTTGTCAGCAGATTCATCCTTCGGGCCATTTACGGACACCTTCAAACTGTATCACCGGATGCAGTGGCGCACTCGTAACGTTCTTGGGAGATGCTCTATTCGAATCTCGGTAGAGACACGGGCTGTCGCCACTGATGTTTGTCACGGTTTTCCTCAATCCCTCCAGGCAAACACCACTCGACGCTGCATAATGTAGCTACTGACGGCGTTGTAAAATACGTAATAAAAATGAATTTGGCTACTTTTTTTGGTTATGTATTACTTTGGGCTTCCGCTTCCAAATTTAGGATCAGCGGTACTGCATCCTGGACTGTGACGTCGTTTAGTCGGGTAGATCGTTACCAACAGAGTACTGTTATTCTTCTACACTGAAGAGGGAGGCACTACGTCCATACGAAACGATGGTAACTTTCTAACAGACTACACGGAAGACTGTAATCTTCTTAAGCATAAGGTAGGGGTATCCCTGTGACAGGCCGTCGAGGCTCCCACACTTTCTAGACAATCGGCTCACAGATGGCGGTGAGGTTGTCAGCCTCGCGCTCCGACCAGCCGCCGCTTAGCCCCAGGAAGATTCCTGATACTCATTTCTGTTAGGACGAGGGCACACCAAGGAAACTGACAACCGCAACGCAACCGCAATTTCCGAGAATTGTTACCAGCCTGAGTTAAACACATGTCACTGCATGGAGCAGCGCAAATTGAGGAAACGGCAACGCAGTTGCGGTTGCCAGTTTCCTTAGTGTGCCCTCGCCCTTAGAGGCCGAGTCGACCCCAGGGCCATAATGCGGCTGGAAAGATTAGGTCAACCGAAAAAATCCAATGGCTTCATTGGGAATCGAACCCGCGACCTTCCGACTTGTAGCATAGTGCCTCAACCAATTATGCTACCCATGAGCATTTCCGTGAAGAATTCGAATCTCACATTCCTAACTTGTCTTGCCTTGTCGCACGCCACTACTCATAACAAACGTAGAACAACATTTATTTTTTAATAATCTACAGTAATGGCTTTGCAACAAGAGTCACAGTATGTTTAAAAATTTGTTAATGAGAAAGGAATCTTCAAGCTCTCGCATCAGAGAAACAACAACAACAACAAAAGAAAAACGTTTTTGTCATGTGTACGTAACAAGATCGAAGTTTTTCGAAGTTTCTGACAGCAGTAAAAGAAAAAGGTGTGAATATGGCACCACGTTCTGTACGAAACGCAGCACTACAGATAAAGACAATAATTCTGGACGCAAGTTGCGTAGGTTACCATGGTGATGAGTTTCAAATGTTGTCAACTGGGACAGCCAAAATCTCTCTAAAATCAGACCACTGTAAGGCGCGGCAACGTACCTCGAACGCAACTTATTTTTACAGTCTGTAAAATGGACACCACTTTTGTACTCAAAACTGTCGATCTGAAGATACAAAACGAGGCACATACCTGCCACGACTACGTAGACAGCCCTCGAGCACGTCACAATCCGAACTGAGTTGTTCACTTTCATGACACCACACAAGCAGGGCTGCCACTACACGTAGTCTTATGTCTCGCGAAGCAAAACATTCACTGCGAGGCACCGCCGCGAGCGAAATTTGAAACCCATTAATCTCTGATCTTTGCGAGATACGAACACACATAAATCAACTAGGCTAAAAATATGTGATTTACTAGACAGCTGTGAATTGGACAAACGGTTAGGGCCATGGCTCCCAAATTGTGGCGCGCAGAGCCCGACGCAGATACCTTCTCTGAAGCACAACACAGAGGGGCCCGAAAGAAAAAGAAGTATACACACTTCAAGGTACAAAATATCTGCTTAAATAATTTATTGGTGTACCTCCTGTTAAACTGTCGAAATGTCCACAGACAGCCTCTATTAAGATTGTGTTACAGAGGTTATCTAAGGACAATTTTAATGCCGAACCGAAGGTACAGAAATAAATTAATCAAATATTTTGTACGTTGAAATGTGTATACATTTTTGGAGAGGGAGCCTCTGTAATAATTTTAGAGAATGCCTGGATAAAGAAACGTAATTTTATGATTATAATACGAACACAGTACAATATGGGAGCCGGGATAGCTCAGTCGATATAGCGACTGGCTACGGGCTGGACGACAGAGGGGTCGGAGCTGGAGTCCCGGTTGGGTCAAGAATTTTCTCTCAGCTTCACGCTCCTGCCGCTTACCCCGGTACCAACTGTACAGGAGAATGGGTAGGCCTCAGAGTCGGTCTGGATATCATGGAGGAAAGAAGAAAATTATTAGTCCTGCCGGGAATCGAATCCCGACTGCTCGGTCGTCCAGCCCAAAACCCAGTCGTTATACCGACTGAACTACTGGTAAGAGGCTACACATCTGGTGTGCGGCTGCATACTGCGTAATTAATGTGCTCACAAGCCGTGGGGTACGGGCGAATAGGCTAGTCATCACCGATAAGAGTAGGCAGTTTTATGTAAGTACTTACCAGCTGCGGCGGGAGGGCAGACCGGCGCGGCCCAGGCAAGACGACATGGCACAGGGACGACGACATCGGCCGCTGCTCCACCCTGTTGCCCTCGCCACTAAGTGTCGCGACGCTGTTCAATACGTGTTCCAATCTGCGCCTGCAAGGCGGACAGAGCTTATGCAGTACAGGCAACAACACGTCCGTCCCTCCGGTCTGAGGATGGGGTAGTAGGATATGGAGGGCTCACGCCGGTGGCTCTGGGGTATACCGCCGTGTAGTCCGTTCGGAGAAACATGTTGCTTCCATCATCTCGGGTTGCTGTCTACTTCAAGCCGTATTTCTTGCTTGGCTTATGCTTCGACCCTGAAGACGGAGCCAACATGTTCTTCCGAAACACAGACTGACTTCCAACGGACTACACAGCGTTATATCCCAGAAGACAGAACTCTTCAAAATGGAATATAGTTACACGTTGAAACCTTCGAAGCAGTCTACCTGCGCCATGTTGTTCGTCTCCAGCACCCTTGTGGGTACATCATAGCTTGAGCACGTGACCTTAAGGAAGAAGTTTAAGTGCGTCTCCAATATGAACTCCGATGTGGCGATTTTCCTTATCTAGTGACTTTCTAATGACGACGTAACGATCTACGTCAATATTTAATGATGATGTACTCTCTAAGATGTTTTGGACACGGTATAACTACAGTCGTTAGGCTCCTTGGTTGGGGGATAAGGCCGTCGCAAGGCCTCTACCCACACACAGAACAACACAAACACAGGATAAACGCACACAATAGACATCCATGCCTTGAATTGGATTCGAACCCACGATCCCAGCGTTCGAGCGAGCGAAGACAATTCATGCCTTAGACAGCGCAGCGACCGTACCATAGCTCAGGCAGTTAGTCGCCGGCTTCCCACCGCGGTAGCCCGCGTTCGAGCCCAGATCAGATCATGTGGGATTCGTGGTGGACAAAGTGGCACTGGGGTATGTTTTCTCCGATTATTTTGGTTCCCCCTGCCAATTCTCATTCCACAGAGTGCTCCACATTCATCGTTATCTATCATCTGGGGCTGATAAAACAGGCCATCTTGAACCGCTAAGTGTACATATCTTCATGCTTGAATGGACATTAAGACCCATCAAACTAAGCACTTACCCGATGGACCTTACTATACCTTCGTGTAGTAAAGGTAAAAGGGTAAAGCTGTCCATGCGCTTAACTAATTAAGCACTGCGCTATGAAGACATATGGTGGAGTGGATGTATTCATTCATCCATTCATCAATGACTACGGCCCTTTGTTGGTCCCTGGCCTCTTCTTCAGTTTCATAATCTTTTTTACACCGACGGTAGACTTCTCGGCCGAGTGATTAGCCCGTCGCAAGGCCGCTACCCAAACACACACACCCATTCCTTGAGTGAGATCTGAACCCACGATCCCAGTGTTCGAGGGGGCGAAGACGGTTCATGCCTTAGACCGCGCGGCCACCGTGATCGGCCGAATGGATGTACAGATCCACATATTCTTGAAATCGGCACTAGTTGGAGCTGAGTGGTCAGCTTCACGTCCCAGCCGCTTTAACCCCGGGGAAAGAGCGCCCGGTACCCAATGGATAGGTGGGCTCCAGTGTCGGTCTAGACACTGTGGAGAGAAGACTAATCTTGCCCCTACCAGGACTCGAACGCCGACCTCTCGGCCGTCCAGCCCGTGGCCATAGCACGTTTTCAGAGCACACAGCAATACGTCTGGCACAAGCCTTCGTAGGTTATGAGATGAATACTTCACAGTGTTGCTAAGTTGTATGGTGAGGTCATCAATCTAAGAGAACGAGATGGGCGGGGCATATAGCATGCATGAAAACACCACAAATGAGGCATTTTATAGGAAACCCTGAAGAAAAGAGATCACGCGGAAGACCTACGTACAGACGGGAACAAAATATTAAAATGGATCTTAAAGAACACGATGGAAAGGGGTGGACTACATTCATCTGGCTCCAGATAGGACTAGTGGCTATCTCTTGTGAGCAAGGTAATGAACCTTCGGCTTCCGTAAAATGTTGTTAAAATTTCCTGACTAGCTGGAAAGCTATTGCGTTCTCAAGAAATACTGTACTTCATGGAGTAGTTGTACGAGTACATAAGACTGGTCCCTTAAATGGTTCTATGGTACCAGACCCTGATGGCAGACGAATATGAACCATCGGTGACACTACAAGCAACAGGGAAGAACTGAAATGCCAGGAGAAAAGCCTGATCAAGTGTCACTCTATCCACCACAAATCCCTCATGGACTACCCTGCAACTGGGATTTAACGCAGTGTAGTCCGTTGAAAGTCAGCTGACGTTTCGGAGGAACATATCGCCTGAACCTTCAGAGTCGAATAAGCCGAAGATACCAACACAAAGCACGTACGTGAAAGTGAGAGAAAGAAGGGCCAATTTGTTGCACTGCTGACGAACTGTGTAGTACTTAAAGAGTTTTAGATAAATACAATTTACGCAAAACTTTTTGAGCGTATCTAAATACTCGTAAATACTTCAAAAACATTTGATTCAACTGCAATAAATGCTTGAGCATAGATGTCTGCACGTCATTTGTAATTCCTTCTATCGGACGCACCTGTTAAGTGTGCACTGTATACGGTCGTATTGGTTCTTCCTTCGAACTGATGAGATGGAGGAATTCGGAGTTTAAATTTAACTTCCTACGTCAGGAATCTGATGTGTTGTACCCATTCAGCTCCTCCTATAGCGCCCACCAAACGTTTAGGTGCTTAATCTTATCTCGATTTACTTACTTTACTCGGTCTTGTCTCTCAGACACGTAATCTGAATATCTGTAGATATCTGCACTTATCATGTGCACACAACCGCTTCACACACACACACAAATCTAACTCCCCGACAAAAAATACTCCCTGGGTAGTCAACAGATACGCCGATCATGGTGGCTACGCGGTCTAAGTATTTACGGAATAAAGATCACGTAACGCCTCATTATTCGACTTCCCCTCTCTTTTTGTCAATTTCCTCTTATGTCCAAATATTCCCCTCAATGCCCCGTTCCCAAACACCCTCAGAGTATGTTTTTCCTTTTGACTGACAGACCCAGTTTCACGCCCACGTAAAACTGCAGGGAAAATCGTAGGCTTTTATGCTTCCGCGTTCCACCCAGTTACGTCTCTTTAAGCTACACACTCCAAACACAACAGGCGAAGAATCCATTTGTGAAAGGCAGTTCACGAATTTGAAGCTCGAAATAACAAGATATGAAAGGCACAACAAAAGGTTCTGGAAAGAGGGTGATGTTACTTGCTTTCCTCCCTCCTAACCGCTACGCTGCAGGACTTGTGACGAACAGGTCCAGCGTCTGAAGCTTTCCGCCCCCTACACCCAATTTATGAATTTACTGTCACATTATGATCACGTGCTGAGTGTTGCACTCCGCTCTTAACGTTCTTTGACATGTCTTGTAGTTGTTGGCGAACAGAAATAACAGATGACTATAGTTTTATACTTTCTTCCTTATTTCTTCTCAATTTTCGCAAAAATTAATTTGTAGTTGGTAGAAGTGAGGTTGGAAATAATATATATGAAAACGGTTTAAACGCATTCAAAAAAGGAAAAGTTCATGTGCTTGACTAATTAAGCACTACACCATGGAGGCGTATGGGGGAGTGGATGTACAGATCCCCATTTTTTTTTTTACCTCGGCACTAGTTTGAAGTGAGTGGTAAGCTTCGTGCCCCGAACCTCCATACCCCCAGGTAAAAAGCCGCAGGCACCCATTGGATGTGGCTTTATGGGCCCCAGAGTTGGTTTGGCATCTACTGAGTAGAGCAAATCTCTTGCCCCTGCCAGGAATCGAAGCCAGGCCGTCCTGCCGTAGCTAGTAGCTATATCGAGTGAGCCATCGGAAAATGGAAAACACATAATATCTGTCCGATGTGGCAGCATGATGCGATAGCTGCAGGACAGGTGATAGAGGAAACCTTTGACTTTGCAACCCTAGCTCAGGAATTTTAAGGACTTCACGACATTCGCTCAAGTGGCCCTAGCTGATGAATGGGAAACGCTTCGATAATTTACTTCATGTGAGAAAGTCTTCGTGACCTTAATGTAGGAATGGAACAGAACTAGCGATCTTAGTGGAGGTGGTGAGCCAGACTTCGAGACCCACTTAGGAATGGAAAGGAATACGCGATCCTAGTTTAGGAACGATCTCAGTACAGGTCGTAGGACAGACTCGCATCCTACTGCAGGTGGGATAAACTTGGGGGCCCGTTTAGAAATGCGAAAGACCTCGCGATCCTAGTTCAGGTGGTGGGCCACGCCCTCCCAACGCCCGCTATTGATCCTGTCGCAGCGCGAGGACCCCCGAAATCAGGCCATCGCTCATCGCGCGTGCGCGATATGTCTTCAGAATCTGGTCTTCGCGAGGAACACGGCGATGTCTGGTCAGTGCCTTGATGGCAATCGTCGCCATCTTCTAACATGGCGTCGCGTTCGGGTTGCGAAGATGGCTGTCCCTTTCAAATCCTGGTGACCGCTGTACCAACGCCCCAGCCAGGTCTGGGATCTATGGCCCTTACATCTCTGTCCGTTTCGAACGAAACCAACACCAGACACGAATCACTGCCAATCTACTTTGCAGAAGCAGATCATGTTTTCCCATCCGTGACAAGTACCAGCGGCGCTCTCGATGAACTGATGCTCTTGAGTTCTGTGTTGACGACTCTCGGTAGAGCAAAACCCCACAAATATAGTCACCAAATTTCCGCCAATAATGGCTGCCGTCAGCGTCTAATTTTGTAGTGAAGGCAAAGCCGTTCACATGCTTAATTTCGCTCTAGGTCATCAGGACGTATGGTGGAGCGGATGTATAGTTCCACACATTCCTAACCTCGGCACTAGACTGAAGTGGGTGTTCGACTTCACGCCCTGGAAAATTTGCCCACGGAAAAAAGCTCTGGTACGTAAAGGATTGGGCTCTAGAGCCGGTTAGAAGGCTCTGGAGAAGAGTCAAATCTCTGCATCTGGAGGTAATAGAACCGCGACTCCCTAGTCGTCCGGCCCGAAATCTCGACACCGCGTTACATACGCTACCTCCTCATTTCGTGGAGCGAAACTGAACTCATCACGACATTGAA